ATAAATATAATTTTCTATTTAATTAAATGTTTTCGTCATTAACAGATTCGTTAATGAAAATTATTTCATTCATCTAAATTCACAAGTGTGTTACATATTTGTCATTGGGGTATAGGATTATAAATTTTAGTAAAAGAATAATTGTAGTTTAACCAATCATTAAAAAAATATGTAGAGAAACGTGACGTAAGACATTGGAGCAGCAAATTTTAAACTCGTTATATTAGTTAGACAATAAAAGTCAAGTGTTCAAAACTTTCTCTACCCTCCCTCCATTTTGGGAGTAATAAGGTTGAATTTTATGAAAAAAAAATGTATTTTTAGCATTGGAAAGAACTAAGTCGGAAAAATGTGCTTATCTGGAAGCTGTATTCTACAAAACTGCTTTTTAGAGTAGGTTTCTATGCAAGAAATGTTCATTGAAAGATATGTTACAGTTCTTTTTTTACAGTAATAGGTATGATTGTTTTTTGTATACAGAAATGTTTATTGAAATTTTTCATTTTTGTCATTGATTTGTTTTAAAATTTATTATATATTTTGTAGTTTGTATCACTAGACAATATGGTTGAAAATGGTGGAAATAATTTACCATTAATTCTTTTTTTTACCAGATTTACATTTAATTAAAAATTTTCCAAGATGAAGAAAAGAAAATTTTCGGAGAGGGTTATAATATAGAATGTCTCATTCGAGTTTTTCTATATTAACTCATAGCGTATAATAGATATCTTTATTGGTTTTAAGACACAAGAATCGTTTTTTTACGAAGAGTTATAAAATGTCAATATTCCAATAAAAAAGTTGTTTAGTATCTAATTTTTGAAAGAAAAACTAAAAAATCAATATATACCCGTTTCTCTTATTAAAAATATGAATAAATAATGAAGCAATTTTCATATAAATAAATTTTTAACTTTTGTCTCATTCAAATAATAATGTTAAGGGGTAAGACTTTGGTAAGTTGTATTTTCGATATTTTTATGCTTCATAAAAATTGAAAAATATTTATTTAGTTTCTATATTTATAATCAGTCAGTACCGAGAAAAATAACTATGCATATTTATAGAGAGAAATATGCATAGGCTAAAATTTTATTTTGCCATAAACTTTTAAAATTAAAACTTTAGTTAAAACAAGAAATCCTACATTTTTTTAATTTTTGTGGCTTATCATAAATCAATGCCCTTTGACTAAACTAAGAAATTTTTATATTTTAAGTATCATTAATTATCATTAATTTTAAATTTTAAATATCAAAAAATTACGTTTTTAAAGTGCAAACTATAACATTAAAAGAATTGGGTGTGTTATATATTTATATCTCTTTAAGTTGTTTTAAATAATATTTCTGCCAAAACAGGAGCAAAGAACGTGTGGGTACTACGCTCGAAGAGAATAGTATTTGTATAGATCTTTTTCGCAGTTACAATATTAATAGTCTACTTTTGATATGAGATGAATATTTTTGGATAAATCGTCGTAGGAAGGCATTGGCCCATATTGGGCTGTCTGGCCGATTATGATGATGATGAATGTTCTTCAATTACATATTTTGCGGTATATTTCAATATTAAATCACAAAAAAACAATTTTCTCAAAATTATAATCCTAGTTAACATAGCCAGATTAATTTTTTAATAACATTAAACCATGAAATTAACGATACGAAATTCCAAAATTACATCTGTTTATAAAAGGCTAATTGTTTAACTGTGCAATAAATTTCAATTGCGTGTATCAGAGATAAAAGTCGATAATGAATTTTCAAGTTTATCATTAACTTTCACTCACTTAAATTGCAGACTTAAAAATAGTTTTGGTAGTAAGAGAAAACGGAATTTGCTTTAAATCAGACAAAAAATTACAAAAGTGTTTCTAAGGTATTAGCAAATTTTAAATGTACCCATTATCATTACTTTCAATGCAGTTAAAATATATTAAATCTAAGGATTTACTAGTCGCAACTTCATAAATTATTAACAAATTATATATGAACTAAATGTATTGCTAAATGCAACATTTTAAGTTTATTTTTGTCTGATAATTTAAGACTAAAAGTTCTTCACCTAAAAATTCTTTTTAAACTAATAACTCCTCATCTCACATGAAAAACCTCATGTAATAATATAGTTTAATACTGGTAAAAAATTATGGAATCAGCATGCTCGTATTTTAATCGTAAAATTTTACGAAAGAGAAATTCTGTTTTGTATTACAGTATTATTTACCAAATCAATGTTATTAAATAAATATTGTTATACTAATGTAAAAATTACGCTGTAATTTTCAGGGTAAAAATGGGTTTTACAGATGCTACACTCAGGAATTTTTGCAGAATTTTTTACACTGTATATTTCTATGGCGGAGACAAAAATTTGTAGCATTTAGAGATAATTGAATTTTCAATGAAAAGTGCAAAGAATAAACATATTACTCTAACCAGAAATACTTATTTAAATATATCAGATTATTTAATTCCTTTATTTAAGAATCTTTTTGTTGTTAGACGAAACTATTTGTATCGTTTTTCTTTTTTTATAAAGAAACTGAACAACTCAAATATTTCTTGTCTGCAATAATAAAATAAAGAGTTTGTCTGTGTGAGCATCTTTTTTATAATTCAAGAATCGCTTGTTCTATCATCCTAAAATTTTGACATATTTTACATCCGATTTTAATTAATTTGTTCGGAAGGGCCGTGAGTAAAAAATGGAAATATTTCATTCGCTTAGAACTCGCCGTTGATAAAAATGACACTGCTTCCAAATATTTTAAAGATTTCATCAGTGATATTTTGCTCTCATTAAAAAAAATATTTTTTATTCTCTATATGAGATGAACTTCATGATCTGCATGAACCTGATAGCCTTAGCGGATCACGTCTCCAAACTAGTATTCCTAAAGTTATATGAAAACTCGTGTTTATTTGTTTACGTTATGCTTTAAAAATACAATTCTATAAAACTTAATCATTTAAAATCAGCATAATTGAAAGAAAAAAAAGTTATGTATTTAAAGTGAAAACTAATGGAGAAACAGAACTAATTTGTAAAGGAAGGTACTAATTCGTAAAGGAAAAGTCCTTTTGTAGAATCGGGACTCACTTAGTTTATGAAACTCCCGTTTCTGATATCATGATGATGCTTAATTAGTTTTAATAGTTTTAGCTAAATTCCTTTTCATATTGTGCTAATAGAGGATCCTAATATTTTATATAAAAGACATACATTTAAAAAAAAAATTAACTGGTGAATTTAGACAAAATGGATGAATTAAGGAATGAATTAAATACTTTTGATTTGTAATTACTGAAAAATTGTTGCTCTCATTAAAAAGAATCTCAAAAATATTATTTTTTTCTCTCTCTTATATTGTCAAAAATTTCGGATAAAATTACAGTATAAAGTTCCGGCACTTTAGGTTCTTTATCCGTAAAATCTGACTTCACGGTAAAATATTATAGCGTAATTTTCACAGTAATATAGATTTAATGAGAGTGATTCAGTGATTTTACAGCAACTACCACTGTAAAAATTACAGTACATCAGATTTTTCTTCTACAGCATTCACCGGTAAGATTGGATTTTACGTTAAAAAGTATCTGCACCGAGTGCTGGTTCTTTTTACCGTAATTTGATCTGGAATTTTTTACAGTGTTTCTTGAATCCACATAGCGATTTTCGTTCTTACGCAATTGAAAAGAACAAACCATTTAAGAAAATTATTACGCAAAAAACATTCGAGCACGCACTGACTTATTTTCTGAGATCAACTTTTTTTAAACGTTTCAGAACAATCATCATACATATTAAAAGCAATCTTAATTGTCTCGATTTTAATCCTAATTCTTTACTGGTTATTATACATATCGATAATATTATTTTATTCATGATTGAAGCATGAAAATTTCAATTACAACATGTTATATTAAGTAGTTGGATAAATAACTTAGATTTTTAGACTAAGATTATAACTATTAGATCTACTAAGATTTTTGGACTAGATTATAATTTTATTGACGAAAAATCCTGTGTAATATCGATCCTGTTATTTTTATGGGTAAGAAAAATAACGTGTATTACTCTTGACAGTTTTTTTGGCAAAACAACTGGAAAAATTTTTTGTAGAATGAAATTTTCCTCAATAACCTGGATATAAAATGACCACATTTATAGAAAAATAAATTTTGTTTATCCAGAATATTTTGTGGGGAGAGGGATCCTATTCAGAATGCAAAATATCGCGTTTCTAATTGGCTAGCACATTTTAAAGGGACTCTTCAAATCCGTAAGTACGTAAAAATTTGACTTAATCTCAAATATTCTAATGCAGTAGTTTTAATTTTTCAGACTATGCATAAAACATATAAATTTCTGGTTGAAGTATAGTGCGCATCAACATATGTGTAAATGTATGATAAATTCATGTTATATTCTTGAAATCCCAAAAATCTCTTAATCAAAATTTAATAAATTTTTGTTTGAATTATAGTACCTGACGAAATATTTATAAATGTACAACCCGACATTGTCGGCTAGCATGATCATCTTTATTAGAATATTTTTTGAACTGATCTTTGTCATCTGAACTTTAGTATTAACCAAGAGAATCTCTATTTAATTTTTTTTCTTATATTTTTACCTCTTCTCTAAGCCTAACAATTTCATTTTTTAAATTATTATGTTAACCAAATTTTTTCACCGACTACCTATTACCCGCAGCTTTGCCCACTGGGATGTATTTTGAATTCAATCTATGTATCACAATCTGTAATCTATATACCGTAATCTAACAGCAGCTGAATATGAAGAATTTCTACGATCTCCGGATCACGAACTTAAGGAAATGGTAGATTAATTCACCGAGTGCAGCTTTGTCTGAGTGCGTAATCTTAATTGTATATTCACTTTATTTGATGTATTATCCTTTGCCTTATTAAAGTATTATACAAATTCCAATAAACGAAATTGAGACAATGTGATTAAACATCACATTTATTTTCATATTTTATCAGAAGTATATAAAAGGGAAACAATTGCAGAAAGTGTATAACCTACCATTAAAGAAGTCAATCATATACCATAAAAAATGCAGCTCCTCGGCCTCGTTCTCATATCGAGTTTGGCATTCTTTTGGGTAAGTATAATAAAAAAAGCAGTTTAATGGCTTTATTTTCACCATCTGATATATTTGTTTAGGACATTCAATCAATGCAATAACTCTTTTCTAAATTGAGGAAGTGATAGGAAGTTAAAAATTTGGTAAACTATTAATTTAAAATTTTATATATTTGTAACTATCAGCAACTGTTTTCGACTATTAAAATGAAATGGAATGTATAAAATATAAAATGATAAAAGATAATAAAAATTAAGTAAAATTTATTTTTGCATGGAATTATCTTTGGATATATGAATTTTATAATTGCGTGTAAAAAGTCTTCTATTCTCTCAAAAAGTTCTTGAAGTATGGCGAAATACGCAAAAAGTAAAATTATCATTAAGTTATCCACACTTTCGAGTTATCTCCTGACCAAACTTTTGGGACCATATTTCCCAGATTGCGGCTACTCCCTATATTTTAGGGGTCAGAAATCTGAATCCTTAAAAAAAAATATGTTTATTCAGAGAAAGTACGTTTTGTGTCTGATTTCGAATCTTAAAATATTGTCTGATCAATCAATTAACGTCTGATCAATTAATCGATCAATCAATTAACACTTAACAAATTTGAGGTCACCCCTTCGAACCTTTGAGATTGAGCCCTAGAACGTGAAGATCGATTCTTTAGCGGAATGGGCCAAATCACCACAGTCCTCAAACTGTATTTTTTTGTAGATATTATGCACTTTATTTTTAGCTGGATCAGATCATTAGATCAAACGTTCCTCAGAGTGGTCCGTTTACTATTTTTTTTTGTTTTCTGTAAAAAGAAATGTTCGAAGAAGAAATTACGACAAAAGACAGAAAGAAATTCATAAATGTAACGCAAATATAATATACAAGAAAATTATTACAAGGAAATTAATTAAGTCCATTGTTCTTTTTAATAATTAGTATTAGTATTATATCATCCTTTCCAGAGGCTTTATGATATTCGATTAAACTAAACATATTTTTAGTTCATTCTATCGAAATAAAAATTAATTATATCCAGTTTTATTAGGCATTATGCAATCAACATTATTTACCTGTAATTAACTCTTTCGGTAGGTTGTAAAAAACTATTTACGCAGTACCTATGGTAGGTATTTTGGTACCGATATTAGTATAATTAGCATATATGGCAACGTTGCTTTAAAAAAGTAACGAGTAAAAGTACAAGTATTTTTTAAAAAAGTAACGAGTAAATAGTGAAAAGTTCCTATTTTAAAAAGTAACGAGCAAAAAGTACAAGTGAAAGTACAAGTACTAAACAAACAAAGTAACGATCTAAAAGTACATTTCTAGGAAATCGAAAATTCAAAGTAATCTAAAATTTTATTGAATAATATTCTTATGTTCTTTAATGTTTTTGCAAAATTTTTGTTATTTATTTAATTACTTTTAATTTTGAAAGTTATGGACATTAATTTATTTTTAAATTTGGAAGAATATTATAATATAATTTTATAATATAATCGTATAATATAATTTTAATATCTAACTTTTTATGGATTTTCACGAAAAAGAAATTTTATCTATTGATTTTAATTTTTAGTTTATTACTTTTATTTATTTAAATTACCATTGATTTAAAATTGTTTTACTCTATAGAAACGCATTTTAAAAGCACAAACATAAATAAAGCAATCATGGAGTTTCAGATAGCTTTGTGATCTTTGAGCTAGTAAAAAATAATTGAATGTGCAGTATAAGTTGAAACAGAACAGTCTACAGTTTTATTTGTAACAGTGGCTAATGCTGAAGCCATGCGAGAAAATCATTTTCCCAACATTTCTGCCTAACGGAATAATTAAAATTTGTATACGAATTTTAGCATCAGCGGCCAAATTAATACCTTCGAGTTTTCAAGAGTTAAAATAGTAATTATAATAGTTTTCAATAGCACAAATAGTTCTGTAGTTCTTAGAGATTTGACTGGGCGTTGCTTGACAAGGTTGGGCAAAAACATAATTTTAGTAAAAAATGTACTAGGTAAAAATGCATTTAGTAAAAAATGTATTAAGACAAAAATGTATTATTAGTGAGTTCAAAAAGAAAATTGAGCAACGTAATAACAAAATCCAGCATTTTTTGCTTAAAATGTATTAAATAAATGCATAAAACTCGAAAATGAATGAAAATAATTTGCTAATTAATATTTTTATTCATTTTGCAAAATAATTGCATTTCGAAAGTGGTGTCACTGAGTCTGCTGCGAGAATTTCTCAGAACGTGCTTAGCCACGCTAAATAAGCGCTCCGCGGGAGTTCAAGGTATTTAAACACGAAGTTAGCTGTGAATGCATAAATATTGCACATTAATTTAATAAATTAAAAAAAAAACATAAAAAAATTGTTTAATAAAATTTTTTTTCTTTTTTTTTTAGAAAGCTTACCGAGTTTTAGAAAAAAGTAATGATTTCATTCGACATTTCCGTTACAGATACTTGTACTTTTTCCCTAAAAAAGTAACGAAAGTACAAGTAAAAGTACTGAATTTAAAAAGTAATGAAGTACAAGTAAAAGTACGTACTTTCTACTTGTACCGGCGGTACAAGTAACAAAAGTAAAAGTACTGCAATATATATGATAATTAGTATCTATTGGAAAAGCTAATTAGTGCGAAAAATTCCGTATCGAATTGTGGTTACAAGTACCGACACTCATTATTTTTATAGTAATATTATTCATTATTCATTATTTTTATAGTAATATTTATTTAATTACTACTTTTCAGAGATTTGATTTATTGATGCAAAGAAACACGTGATTTCATAAACCCTTTTAGATACTAGTTTGAATACGTCATCCACGAAAATTATCACCATTGCCAAATTATTAACGTTAATTTTACTTGTGATTAGCTAACTTTGAATTTGAAAGATATGTAATTCGTAAAATTGTATGATAAAGCTAATTTTTGATTTTTTAAAGCTGAAGGCTAGCAAATCACTCAAAATATATAGCATATACCATATCCCATGAAAAATCTTTCTTTTAGTGGAAGAGCAGATGGTTGGAGGAATTTATTAAATAAAAAGTTCAGTGTGCCGCGTCTTTGAAAGTATACTCACCAAAATTGGTGCGGATCAGTTCAGAATTGCGAATTTTCAAGGTACATAATAATTCTTACAAGTTAGTATTTTGAGAAAAATATTTTTTAAAAAAAATCAGTTTTTGAAATTAAAATAATGTTTAGAGATCTCTTATTCTCGGAAATCGATGGTTTTGTTCCACCAACTGTATTTATAGGCACAGGTTTAAAAAATTAAATAAATTAAGCTTGAATTTCTCTCATCAAGCCACTAAATTAATTTTGCAATCTGAGTTAATGAAATGAATAGTTATTTACTAATACTGTGGGAAATGAAACTGTCTACTTATATTCCGTAATACAAACATCATTGTAAGAATACTTGCTACCACACAACTTCAGACACACTTTTAAAAAAAAAATATAAATAGCATGTAGTGTGGTGAACAAGCGATGATTTTTTTGCATGAAAAAAAAATTTGAAATGATATTTTAATTTCATTTTATTTCTGATATATTTTCTCAAGACTGCTGACGCTAGGTGTTCTAGGAACAGTCAATGCAAAGATGACGAACGCTGTATCAATACTATATTTGAAGGAGAGTGTATAAAAAAGGGGACAATAGGTAAATATAATAACCTCCATACAAGGTACCTAATCACGCACAAAGACTTTTGATTTCTTCCTGCACTTAATTGAAATGATATTTGTATCAATCAAAGCAAGTAAAATGCAGGACAAATCGTGATAAAACGAAAAATCTAAAATTTTTTTATGTTTTCTGTTCAATTGATGAATAACAAAATAATACTACTGTAGTATGTGTTTTAATTTTAGATTGATGAAAAAACGAAATGCTGAGATTTCTCTTAGAACATTTTGAATTTATACTTCTTATACGACTTCCAACAAGGTTGCGTTAAACGTTTAAAGCTACATTTTTATTGGCCGGGAAATCACGTGGTAGGATCCAGTTTTCCCTCATTCATTTCCGTTTTGTTTTGGTACTCACTAGCATAAAAATAATAAAAGTCATAAAAGTATTCGCGATCGCAACGAACTATAGGGGGCGTTGTTGTATGAGACGCTTACCTGCGATTTCCATATGAACCGTCATTCAGTTACTCTGGAGACGTCGTTAATGTAGCGTGTAGCATTGCAACGTTCCTTCTTTAATGTGGCTTATTAAATTTAAAAAAGAAAAATGCTTGATCTTCTTTCTTGTACAACCGAAAACAAAATGGTATCTCTTTTTATTAGAGAAGGAATATCCAAAACACATCGGAAAAATATTTGCACATAAACAGAAAAAAATATGTATATTCTTATAAGAGTTAAAACCTAATGCCCGAGAAATAGTTTTACTAAATTTAATGATATAACATGAAAGGCCTATTTAAACTTTACATTCCATAGTTTTAAGAATCATATTACTTCAAAAATTAAAATGAACAAAAAGTATACATAAGCCTCATAATTTTATGAAATTTAATTTAGTAAAAAAAGTTTTTTGACAACAATTTTTATCAAAAAATTTCAAGTTTCAATAAAAATCATTATTTAGAAACTAAAAAACGTAAAATAAAGAATGCTTACGATACAAAGCAAAAAAGAAAAAACCAATTCTAAAAATTCCTTACATTAAAATAAACAACTTTCATTTTTTTTCTTTTTTGATTCATAATCGGACGCAGAAAACCATTCTATAGAAAACTATCATCAAATAAGAAAAAAACTACTTAAAAGTAAAATTTTTTATTTTATAAAAATTAACACTTACCTGCTTTATAAATCAGAAGAATTCCAAAATGATTTGTTCTTCGATTTTTGTTACCATTTTTTAGTGCTACGAAAATGCGTCTTTGGGATTTGCCAAAAATAGAACAAGATGCAATTTTATTTTTTCAGGAGCGAAATATTTTGCCTATTGTCCACCAAAATCCGATAAACTACTTTGATTTTAAATAAAGTGTTTCATTTTATGATTTGACGCAAAAATTTTAGGTGTAGAAAGGCGGCACTTAAAAACCGCCAAATCTGTAGCTGCTGTGGCGTTAATCCATAGTTATCGAATTTTTATTCATACTTTTCTGAATCATATTACTTGAAACATAAGAATATGCAAGAAGTATACGTAAACACATAATGTTATACCATTTATGTTTTCGAAAAAAGTATTTTGACAACAAATTTTATCAAAAAATTATAAACTATAAAACGGAAAATAAAGAATTCTTAAGATAAAAATGATTTTAAGAATTCTTTACATTGAAATAAACACTTTCATATTGTTTCTTTTCTTATTATTCTTATATATTTCTTAATCAGACGTAAAAAACCATTCTGCAGAGAACTATCATCAAATAAGAAAAAAAAATTGCAAGCTAATTTTTTATTATTAAAATCATAACACTTACCTTCTTTATAAATCCGCAGAGTTCCAAATTAAATGTTCTTTGTTTGAAAGTTTTATTTTCAAATAATATGTATATAGATTATCCCTTTATTACTTTTAGTTAACGTACCACACATCAAAATTTTATAATTGTAAGATCTCGTTATGAATTTGAATATGTAGCTTAAAAACAGAACAGCTGATTTCTAGTTGAAATTATGTATTCTTTCAAAATTAAAAAATACTTACCAGGAAAACGATAAAAAATTCATTAATCATCAGCACAAATGACACTATTTCAAGTAATTTGGTTGACTCTTTATTGTTGTTTTCTGAATTATCTAGATACAGAAATATATACAAATATATTTCTGTATCTATAACAAAGAAGAAAATTCTATAACTATTGCAGTTCTTGACATTCTGAATTCACATTTATTTATTGGAATGACGAAAGCAATGTTGACTTCATTTTAATTTGTAATGAATTGAAGACAGAAAAAGTTATTTTACCGTAATATACACATCTGTAACAGCAAGTGATCACCAAATTGTAAATTATGTTGTTGGTAATAGAAAGGTAAAAATTATGGAGAAATTGTTCTTCAAATGCTTGGCGTGTTCTGCATCAATGTTTGGCATGCACTGGATAGTTTATCAAGTTCTTCAGCTTTTCCTTTGGGAAATTTTTATTTTTATTTGCTGCTAAGAAAATGGCATAGAAAATTTTCATGGAACTAAATGAAAACGTGATAAATTAATGTCTGATATTTACAGGCTCCCGCTGGAGGGCGTACTTGAGCGTTGCGATCGCGAATTGTTTTTCAATAAATATTTTTTTAGTTTGTTTTGATACACATATAATTTAATAGGGTAGTATTTTTTATTTTCAAATTTAGTGGATAACAATTGTAAAAAATGAGTGAAAACAATCCCACGGACAATTCGACAGATTTAAGGTTATGTCAAGGTACGTCTCTTGCGAATATCAATTGATTGTTAGGTTTTCTCTTCTGAAATTAGATTATGACGTATTCGCATACATTATTAATACAAATACATTTTCCAGGGCGAGCCGAAGAGGCAACTACAAGCACTTCCACTGGTTCAAGAGGTCCACGAGGGAAAAATGCACAACATTACCGTGATTACAGAACACGGAAGAGAGCGGAACAGGAAAAACAGTCGTTGAATAGAACTAGTGATCCTTCTACGACTGCTGATTCATCTACAATTAACGTCGCAGGTTGCGAAGTTTAACTTCTTCCTCGCGGAGGAACTCCACGCACTATTTTTTTTTATTTTACAAACATTCGTCTAAAATCAACAAACTTAAACACAATCGGTTGTCCTCCGATCAAGCTAGCTAGCTAAGAGTCAGAAAGGGTCAGAACCAGTTCTTTATCTGACGGAGAATATTTCCTTATCAAATATATATTCAAATTATATATTCAAATATATATTACGAATATTCAAATCTTTCTTATACACTGCTCGAAAGCCCGACAGGATAGCTGGTAAGGCGCCTAACCAATGGTCTGTAGTGTAAGCCTTGAGTGCAGCTTTCAAGGGTCGGTGTCATTGTTATTACTTTGGGGACGGTAAGGTCAGGATCGAGCTCTTTTGATGACCAGGAGATGTGCTACAGTTTTGAAAAGTATACTTTCGAACTGATGACCCTGATCTTCCGTTATCACTCAAGGTGATTCAAATCAAGCTATCCAGGTTTTAAAGAAAGCACAGTTTCCACCCATATAGTATATCTGTCGATCATTGTCAAGCAGTATGAAAATCCTTTAGATGGTGGTAATGGGCCAACGATGTCAAGTTGAATAGGGTAAAAGCGTTTCAACGTTATTGGGGTCCCGCAGTGGACTGATCGTTAAGACGCGGTTCCCAGCAGATCACCGAAGTCAAGCATCACTGGCTGCGGTCAGTGTGTGGGTGGGTGATCACTTGGATCAGCCTGCGTAGGGACCGAGGGTGTGCGGTATTGGTCCTCGTTTAGTTGTTCTACCGTAAAGTGCTCGACTTCGCGTGCTGGTCGTCGGGCTACCGATGCTGGGGTGCCATCACTTCTGCAGAGGATTAAAATTGTGATGGCATGTCTTCGGATCATCCTGAGGGATGTTTCCCAGACAGTCGCCAATAGCCCATTGTGCAGCTCTAGTGCGACATAAATTAACTACAACAACAACAAATCAACTTTATTGGGAAATTAAAAATAGGAGATTTAGTATGCTTAACTATTTTTGATTTTTAACATGGAATTCAATGTCTAGACCACATATTACAATCTTTTTAAGGTGGGCTAAATAAATCTATTATAAATTAGTAGAACTATCATAATATAAAATAGAGTACGTATCTGGAACATTTACTTCTTCAAAATATAAATTTTGAGGCTTCTTGATTAAGCTGTTTAAATTGTTGACATCTCCCAGAGCAATTGGCTGTTTCACTGTAATTTCTTGGATTTGGCATGTTTATAGATGACACTCTTGATAAAGCACCTGCAGTTGTTATAGTGTCAGAACCATTTAGGTGTCGTATATCTGTTGCAAACTGCGATATAAAATCTAATTGATGAGCATGTTGAGGTAAAACCTATCTATCTTCTGCTTAAATGCGTAGGTGAGCGGTTTGTGATCCGTAAACAAAACATTTCGAACTTAGAGCATGTACCTTAATTGTTTGATTTTGCGACAAGTAACTCTCTATCATTAAGTGCTATAGCGTCTTACAGTTTCGTATAACTTGTTCGAAAAAAAAAATTGCTAACGTCTGAAGGTGTTCGTTTTCTGTTTGAAATAAAGCTCCACCAGTAGCGAAATCTAAGGCATCTAAATTTGCAACTTGCATTACTAAATTTGCATCTGTGTTAGGATGCGCAAGCAGCATAATGCTCGCTAAACGTAGCTTGCAGTTTTGAAACCCGCTTATGACCTGTTCTGACTAGTTAATCATAAGATTTTCATTACGCTTAGAGCCTTTCAAAAAATTGTTTAAATGAGTTTGGTAATGAGCTGAGTTGTTGTTGTTGTAGTTGTAGTCAATTTACAATGGGCTATTTGCGATGGTCTGGGAAACATCCCTGAGAATGATCCGAAGACATGCCATCACAATTTTGATCCTCTGCAGAGCGAATGGCACCCCCGCTTCGGTAGCCCGACGACCTGCACGCGAAGTCGAGAACTTTACGGTAGAACAGCTTGACAAGGACCAATACCACTCACCCTCGGTCCCTACGCAGAGTAATCCAAGTGGTCACCCACCCGCACACTGACCGCAGCCAGTGATGCTTGACTTTGGTGATCTGCTGGGAGCCGTGTCTTAATGATCAGTCCACTGCGGGACGGTAATGAGCTGAGCGATGTTGGAAACGACGAAAAAATTTAGAAGTCCGAGAAATCTTCTCAATTCCTTGATTGGTTTTGGCTGAGGGTAACATAAAATAGGGTCTACTTTATCGGGTAATGGTTTGGTGAAATGGTTAGGCTACAAGAAAGTTTTGGGCGTTTTGGGTTGCATCAAAAAATATATCGGAAACCTTTAGAAGTTTACAACAAATGCTACAAGTAAGTTTTGGGTGTTAAATACAGCAGCAAAACTTCAAAATTTCTTTTATAACTTTCTTAGCTTTCTCTTTGATAGGCGTGTGAAAACGTTTTTGATAAAAAGTTATGTAATAAAGAAGTTTAACAAATGATAATGACAGCATAATTATTCTCTTAATATTTGAATTTTAAACATAAGTGATAAGAACCTGAAAAACACCAGAAATGTTTTACCTGCCTCTACTCTATACAAAACGTTTTTTCTTATGTTCAATATGCTATTTTTACTCTTCTCTTATTTATGCCCTGAACTGAAGGTGTATAAGTGTATGCCCTGAACTGAAGGTGTATTTAGTAAGATAAGACTAATTACAGAGGAAGTATAATTTCCACACCATCAAAATAGGTGGTAAATATTAAACTTTTTATACAGACTAGAAGACTCCACACCCTGATCGCTTCGCTCACCAGTCTACAGGATCATCCATCATTGTTCTTGTTTACTCTCAAAAGTCAATTATTTCCACACAAAAAAGAACACTTTTACACAGTATACAAATATTGAATTTTACAAGTTTTACACAAGAACATTTAACTAATATATTAATGGAAACGAAATTAACGATCACCTGCATTTGTTAAATAGACTGTTTATAGTTTATCTGTTTATAGTGTAACTGTTAGATAGACACCTGCATTTGTTAGTAGAATAATTTGTTCTTGAAGAAAAAAACTTAACTCAAGGAATACATGCTATGTTAACCAATATGAAGAAATAAATGAGAATTAATGACAAACTATTCAAATAGGTAACGGGTTTGCTCAGAAGCACTACTGCAATTACGTAGTACAAAAATTCTATCTACAAGTCCTGCTGTGCCTGGAGTTTAAGTATGATTTCATAAAAAGAGCACTTTATTTTTCCGAAGTTGTAATTCAGTTCTGACGTTTTCTAGCTTGCAAAAATAAAGATGGATATTAAAAAAATAATTTTTTGGATTTTAACTGAGTTAAAACCGAAGTTATTTGACTTGCGCACGATAAAATAAATTTTAAGTACGATTTACCTGGAAATAACTGCTCTTCAACACTTCTCAATTTTTCATGATTATAACAAATACTACTGTTTATAATCAGGATGAAGATGGTTTCTTTCAGCCGTAATAACGAAATTACAATTGAAGAAGAGCTCAAAAAAGTTAATATAATTAAGTAAGTGTATTTACAGAGTATAATTAATGTTACAAAAACTATTGGGTGTGAAGATTTTTGTCGCACGGTGAACCTTGATTTCGGTTCGACAATTTTTCATCCGGAAGTTTATTTTAAAGCAACATCGAATTTCGAATATGTACATTTCTCTTATACTAGTTGTAAAAATAACACATTTTAGTCGGTTTAGGTGTTTCTGTGATTATTTATTGTATTGATCAACAGGAAGGAAGAGATTTTGATATAGTATTCTAAGAAATTATTTAATAAAAAGTAAAAAATAATGAGGTTTGAAGCTCATGCGTACCTTCAAAAACAACATAGGGGGCAAAAAACTATAAAAACGACCCTTACGGCACTTCTAGCGTTAAGTCTTTAAAAATACTTGAACTAAATTATCTAATATTAACTTTTATTTACTCCCTCGTACTTCGTGCATATTTTTCAACTATCGACCGTAAATTTAATTTTAAGTCTTACAGTTCTTAAAAGAATTCAGAGAGAAAGAAAAAAATACCTAAAATTGAAATAGTTTTCGAACATATTGGAATTTTGAAAAATACTTGTGTACTTCGTGTCTTTAATAATGAAAGAAATTATTGCTGTTCTAAATTACACTGTCAGAAATTAATATTTAGTAATGAACGTTTAAAATGCCGACCGGCTGTGAAGGGGGCAGGGAACTGTCCTTGCATCAGAAAGGTCCTGGGTTCGAATCCCGGGCAAGGCATGGATGTTTCTTTCTCTCTCTGTGTTCTCTATATCCTTTCTCCTTTGTGTGTGAATGTGACCCGCCCTATAAGCGGGTTGTGGTTGTGTGAAAGACGTGGCAATTCGAACTCCTTTCCATAGATGGCGCCACTGAAAAACTGGAACAACCCCACCCCACTGCCTAAACAGGCATACAACAAAATAAATAAATAAGTAAATAAATAAATAAATAAATAAATAAATAAATAAATAAATAAATAAAACATTTAAAATGCAGCTAGAGATGCGCGCGCGTGTGTGTGATCTACTTCTTAAAAGGGATTGTTGCAAAAATATGTATAGTGCCCTATATATATAATCAGAACAATAATTCCAAGTAATTGTTTTAGGCAACATATTTATATTTTTCAGGTCAAAGGTGCTCAACCTCTTAAAGCCACGTCTATCCTTTTTATTGTCCGTGCCAGGAAGGTCTTGATTGCCATGCTATTAATCTGGTAATTGCTGATATATTTTTCAATTAATTTTTTAACATTTTGGTTACTTTTTTAAATACATCTTTTATCTCAGAATGTGTGTGAATAATTTAATCTTAAAATCATAAAATAAATGTTAAATTATATTTATTATTCTCGTTAAAACATTAAGTTAATTTTGAGTTAGTTTTTTTTTTCATTGAATTAAAAATATTATTTTTTACTTGATGAAAGTAGAAATTGGCGCCGTATTTAAGGCAAAATAAAATGAACAATCGAATCTTTTCAAAATTTTTAGAAATTAAATAATAAAATATCACAAATTTCTTAAATTCTAACTCTCTACTTCAATGAAATTTACAATCGATTGATGATTAAAAGACTGAATTAGATAAAAATATACATTGCATTACTCGCAATCAATCTCTTGAAATCGTTAGTGAAAGTATTGACGGTATTGACTTATTCTTTTTATATTTATCAGTGTGATTTTTTTGAATATGTAATATAGAAATGTTTAATAACTAAGTTGTTATAATGTTTGATGTAGGTCTTTTTGTATTACTTTATCATTTTTAAATATTAAGTAAAAAAATACTTCATAGATATACATCAGTAACAATAATGCTTATATATTAAAAAAAACTAATTAAAGCTTGTGCTTTTTGTTATTTAAAAATTAAAATAAAAATTATGAAAGAAAAGAACATTAAAATACCTAAACTATTTGTAGATTTAAGGGTATTTTGTATTTTTCTCCATTAATGTGGAGTTCCGCGGTGGACTGATCGTTAAGACACGGTTCCCAGCAGATCACCGAAGTGAAGCATCACTGGTTGTGGTCAGTGTGCGGGTGGGTGACCACTTATAAAAGTTTGCGTTGAAGTCGAGGGTGTGCGGCATTGGTCCTCGTTAAACTGTTCTACCGTAAAGTGCTGGACTTCGTGTGCAGGTCATCGGCCTACCGAAGTGGGGGCGCCATCCCCTGTGCAGAGGATTAAAATTGTGATGGCATGTCTTCGGATCATCCTGAGGGATGTTTCCCAGACAGTCGCCAATAGCCCATTTCTCAGCTCTAGTGCGACATAAATAAACTACACCAACAACAATCATTACTATGAGTATTGGATTGTTGCAGAAAATTTTAAAACTGCGCAGTAATAACGTTTAATATAAAGATAATAAACATTACTACTATTGCTCAAAAGTTTTGTAATTTTTGAAGAATTGATTTAATTTTCTCTTTTCATTAAATGTTTTTAACTTTAAAATAGGAAAAAGAAAGTAAAAATGTTTCAAAAAATATTAAAAAATCCAAACTATTAAAAGCTTATTCTTCTATTATTTATCAGTATGATAATTTGAATATGCCATATAGAAATATTTAACAGCTATGCAGTTATAATGTTTGATTAAAAGTCTTTTAGCATTACTATATCATTTTAAAATATTAAGGAAAAAATACTTCATAAATATATAGTAAGAGTTAATGGTTATATTAGAAAAAAATTATTTGGGTACTAAAGCTTTTTATTTAAAATTGTTTAATTTTCATTTATAGAGTAGGGAGAGCATAGTAAGTATTCTCTGAAACATAGGAACATTTTTTTTGTAATTTTTGAAGAACTTATTTAATTACTTTTTATAAAATGCTTTTTAACCTTTAAGTAAGAAAATCAGAAAACATTTATTGAAAAAAAATACATTAATAATCCATAACTACGTGAAGTTATCTTTCAAGAGATCTTTTCTTGGCCTTGAAAAGCAATTTTTCTGCCTAAAACATTCCAGAAATGGTCCATGGAATAATATCTTTTTATATAGATTGCTTCTTTATCTTCTGAAAATCCCCTATGATCTGTGTGAACATGCATTGTCATCCTTAAAAATTATCTTAGGAACCAACGTAGATTCTGAAAATACTTATATGGGACTCTGAAATGTACTCCATATAATTCAGAGAATAAAGGTGGAATTTTGTACACTGCATATGATAATAACGGTGAAAAATTGAGAATTTTGCTCCTATATAAGAAAGCGTGTCTGACAGCAAATATCTGCAACCAACGATTCACTGGTCAAGATAACAGCACTTTGGCCTCCCGGGTCCTTGTTTCTCTTCGTATGAAAACACGACAAGAATCATAATTTTGAATGAATCAGAATACACCGAAAAGAATATATACCATTTATAAATACACGGAAAAGAATAGTATTTTATTACAGTTAATAAAAGTTTGAAGTTATTTGCATAAAGGAATGTTAATTTCTAATGATTAAAATTACTTATTATTATGCAAAGATTCCCTCCCTCTAAAGAAACTACATGAACTTAAATTTGAAAAATTTATGTAATCAAGTTTCATTGTTTATAAATGTTCTTAAATATGTACTATAACATTTCAAAAATATGTATTATATTCAGAACAAACTATTTGGACCTAAAATAAAAGGAAGAATTCTTTATATATAAATATATTGCTTCTATATTAAATTAATATATTAAAATAAGCATATGAGCCAATTTTTATGTGATTTAGATTTTATGGTACAAATTTTTCCTTTATTAAAAATACACATCATCTTAACCATTTCTATTTATGCGTCTTTGGGTGAAACCATTTAAAAAGTCATGACATCAAAATTCATTAATTATTAGCCATTGGAAACTTAATACAATCTACGGATGAAGACTCTGAGACTTGTTGTCGTTAGATGGACGATGGTTTGTGTATAAATCCGTTAACTTTGGTGTCGTAATCATGTGTGGCATAAAGGCATATCTTCTGTTTATCTTGAGACAGAAATCTGGAAAAACTGCCTCGTCGGAAATATTTATATTAGAAAGATTTCGTTGTCTGAGATTGGCAAACATGCGTGTGCTTATTTCTTGGATGGAATTCAGACCCATTTAATGAATTACTTTTTGATACAGTCTCCAATAAAAATTTCGGATAATTTGTTGTACTCATTTGTAATATCACTGGATTAATTGTTATTCTATTCAACAACAACTTTACAAAATAAAGGATTTTAATACTGAATGAAACATTAATATTTTTAAAATTTTTTCAAAAATTTTGTAAAGCTAAGTAAGTAATTTATAATATTCTGCTCCTATAGTAAAAAAAATCCACTCCCCAAATTTGAATTAAAAAAAGTTCTTATTTTTTGTATCAGCTTTAAGCGAGTTATTAGTTGCTTAATGTTCAAGGTGAATGGTGACATCTTTTAGCTGATTCCGCCACAGAAGTTTTTCTTGCAATATTTTTTTAAGATTTTGATATTTTTGTTTATCTTGTAAACACTTCTTCTGATATTGTAGATTTGATTTTGTATTGATTGGAAAGAAATTTTTAATACCTCAAAACTTTCTTTGCCATCGATAGCCACTTATTTTTCCAAGCAAATAATTTTTTTAGTCTTTTCCAATCTAGGAATTCTAAGCCACTATTATTATCGAGAATAAGAAAAAAATTCTGTCTGTCATTGCGAAGACTCGAATAGATAACAAGTATATTTGTTAACGTGTTAGCGCCGAGCTGTTACTAGTAGCTCATTGGCAGAGACATGACATTTATTTTAGACTCTGCTTTTGAATCAAATTTGTGATAAAGTTATACATTTAAATATTATATTTAACTGAAAGGGAGATTATAATAAAATAACTGTCGCATCAAAATTAAGTATATTTCATTTATAATATTTAACAATCTCAATTATATGCACGTCGCCTATTGAAAACATCGTCGGGTTTTCCTTCAACTTTAATGAGCAGTAATAGATTTTTTCAGTGATCAAAATGAAAAATTAGGTGCATTTAACTTTTGGTAAACTTCTAATTTTTGAAACACGCATTTCAATTATCACTAGTTCACTAAAAATGATTTAGTTCCAAAAGTTGGTAAACGAACTTGAATAAGTTTACCCTTGTCTCTAGGCCTATATTCAGTCCTGAATCAAATTGAATATGATGCATTTTCTAGACATATTAGTTGATCCAGAAACTTTGGAGTACTATAAATTGTCGCAATAAGTTACCAATATTTAATGTCAAGAGTCCAAAATATTATTCTTTAAAGACATTTGCCATTTCTGTAAATAGCTGAGGGTCCTTTAAGAAAAAAGCCATCAAGTCATGGGAACCTTGTCCATATATAGCCCTCTACAATAGTCAATTTGATTCATTATTCTTGGACTATTTTATTGTGATGTTAAGTATTTCATGATTTTACTATCGTTTTTGTTATAGTTTGATAAATTTTCACACAGAAGTAGTATGGATTTCTTTTGATTCTACTTGAGTTGCCCAAAGAGAGGCGTTTTTTTTTAAAACTTTTGTTATTATTTAAATGATACTATTTGATGTTTCAAAATCGTTAATACTAAGGATTATGTTGCGAGGATATGATGCAATCACAGGCATTCAATTAATCGCACTGCTTTTCTTTTATTAGGAATTGAACGTCAAATTGATTTTCTGAATTCTATTTTTCTTTTTCCTAAAATAAAGTAATACACATTTCTTAACTAATCGCTTACTTTCTGAGAAATGATATTTATTATTTTAAATCAACTTTTAGGTATATGAAGAAGAAATATATTACATACTTTAAATAAGAAAAAGCAAAAAAAAAATTTTGAACATTTTTAATTGTATTTCTTAATTAGTAAAAATAAATTAAAAAGCTCTCATCCGCACTTATACGCATAAGTAATAAAAGAAGCATAATTTACATTAGGGGCTATAAATTTATTTATTCCTGTGAGATAGACCCAGTAAAATGAGAATTTACTTTTTGCAGTTTGAATACCCAAATCAGATTTCTGCTTTTAAGGAAACCATAAAATCTAATCGATTGATATTGTTGATCATGAAAACACGTGAACAATTTGATTTGATTTCACCTGAATTAAATCTTTTACACTAGAATAAATCTTACTTCTTGAAGTTATAAGTTCTGTAATACACTAACGTTCAAAGTATTAGGAACAACACATTTTTTTCTGACAACTCAAAAAATAGACAACAAAAACCAGTAAATGTTTTTATGAAAACACGAAGTATGACGAAAACGATGATACAAACTCAATAACAATATTTAATGGGAGTAGCAGCAAATTGAAAAAACTTAGACAGTAAGCTGGCCTTTTTAGAAAGGTAGGTTCACTGTAAAAATTTCCGGATCGGATTCCTGTAAAAAGTTTCGGCATTGAGTTGTGTAATTTACTTTACTGTGAAGTATTACGAAACAAAAAACCTAATATACCGTTATTTTTACTGCAATATTTTCTTTATAACCAATTAAATTAGTATTGCTGTTTAAATAAAGATAAAAATTTTACGGTAAAAAATTGTTTTGAGTTAAAATGGATTTTACGGACACTGCACTCATGTTGCCAGCACATTTTTTTATCTTAATTTTATCCTGATATTTTTTACATTGTTACAGTTATATGCTAACATTGATGGTGGTGCTGCAATAACAACACACTCTCACGTAATTTATGAATATGACAGAAATCTTAAAATTAATTTAGCTTGGAGTATATTATGGTATAGTGCAGTAATTTTGCTACTTACTCCCCGATCTAAGATCACAAGAAGCCTGTCTCAGTGTAATAGTGATATTTATTGTCCCAATATCTTAAATTTATTGTGTAAAAAAATACGTCATTATCGTTAAGAACAAAAAGGCTTGTTCTGAGTACCTCACTGTCATCTAGATGTTCAACTTCTTTTTGAATTCTCTAAAGCATCTCTTTTGCCACATTTTGATACTTTTTAAATACAGTTTCCCTTAATTAAGGTTATAATTTCTTGAGTTGTCTTGATTTCTTGAGACACGAATATACTTGTTAAAGAAATGTTAATTTTTTAAATTGTTTTTTAGAATCTTTAATCTTATTCTTTTTTTTAAAAATATTTTGCTGTTAGATTAAAATTAACTACGTCTTTTTCAGAGTACCGCCACCGCTAAATCACAGGTAAGGAACGCAAACACTTTTTGCTTATTTAAATATGAAAAGTGGCTGTTGTAAACATTTATAAAAACATTGAAGTAATGCACAAAAAACACTTATTAGATATTTATCAACAATTCTATTCTAATGTGCTATATTTTTTTAAAAATAATTGTTAAAAATTTGAAATTGTATAGACTTATGATTTTATTAGTCAGTAAATTAAGGGAGTAGATAATTTATTTGTAATCGACCATTTACCTAAGATTCACTAATTCAATATCACATCCAGTATATTTTAATTTGATCTCATATGGTTTCCAGAAAATAAACAATTGATTTTAAAAACTTAAATTAAAAAATATATATATATATCAATAGTTTTGTACAAAATGGTAAAATTTCTTGAAATTTTGAGTTTGCGTAAAAAGAAAATAAATAAATAAATAAATAACTAAAAGTAACCTAATCGAAAGTAAAATAAGTGTATTCTATTTGTATGGTTTTAAATAACACAATTATTGTCCTCTTTCAGAATCGTGGAATTTGTAAAAGACCAGAAACACAGTAACACCTGAGTTAGTAAACAGAAGAAAGTAGCACTAAAGCACTTCACAAAAGACAGAATCTATAAAGAAAATCAAATTTTTTTAATAACATGTTAGACTCATGATTTTTGTTATCTATCTAAAATATTCGAGTTTCTAAAATTTCGAATTTCCAAAGATCTAATTACATTGATTTTATCTAAATTACGTTGCATAATTTATTGCGTTTAAAGGCACGCTAAAGCAATTATTTTACCATAAAGCATTATTGAGTATAATATATATTATTGAGTTTATAATACATTAATTTTAAATTAATTTTTTTTTCACAAATTCCTCTTTTTAAATTTTTCCAATAAATTGTACCAAATTTTTTTAATACAGTTTAAGCTAAATTAGTTAACTTAAATTCTTAACTACATATGATAATGTTCTGTTGCTTGATTTGAAATTAAAACAGAACCTTACAATTAGTAAAAAAATTAGATAGCCATTTGTGTGCAATTTTTTGTAAAGCATAAAATTAATACAAGAAAACAATTTATTTTGATATTGATTCCAGTAAAATAATTTAAAAAAAATCTTAATTTTTATGAAATAAGTGCTAAACATAATATGAATTGTAAATTTGATTTCCTTCATTTTCGATTATTAAGAAAATTATTTTCTAATGATATCTCTATCATAACCGTAAAATGATGCACACGAGGTTATGGGAAATACCACATGTTTAATTTGATGCATAATAAATTATTAATCAATGTAATAAAAATATGTTTTCTTGATTTCGCCTGTGTTTTCCCTTATAATTTACATGGGATGAAAATTATGAGATAAGTCATATTAGGAATCTTCCTGTTTTCGCATAAGGCTAATAGTAACGAGACAATCAAATACTGTAACAAGGAAAAAGAAAATGATCCATCATTTTCAAGTGCAATTACATGTAATCACTAAAAGTTATTATCCGTTATTTTTAAATTCAGTTTATTAGCAAAGTAGTTGTATGTCATTGACAACGATCTGGAAAACATCCTGAGGATGATTCGCAGGCATGCCATCTCAATTTTGATCCTCCGTAGGGAATAGCTTCCTCATTTTTGAAAGCCGACTACGAAACCGAGCATCCCTGAGGAAGATTCGCAGACATGCCATCCCAATTTTGATCCTCCGTAGGGAATAGCTTCCTCGTTTTTGAAGGCCGACTACGAAGCCGAGCATCCCTGAGGATGATTCGCAGGCATGCCATCTCAATTTTTATCCTCCGAAGGGAATAGCTTCCTCGTTTTTGAAGGCCGATTACGAAGTCGAGCATCCCTGAGGATGATTAGCAGGCATGCCATCCCAATTTTTATCCTCCGAAGGGAATAGCTTCCTCGTTTTTGAAGGGCGACTACGAAGTCGAGCATCCCTGAAGGATGATTCGCAGACATGCCATCCCAATTTTTAACCTCCGAAGGGAATAGCTTCCTCGTTTTTGAAGGCCGACTACGAAGCCGAGCATCCCTGAGGATGATTCGCAGACATGCCATCCCAATTCTTATCCTCCGAAGGGAATAGCTTCCTCGCCTTGGAAGCCCGACTACGAAACCGAACATTTCATCGCTAAACATTTTAACACGATTATTAAGAACGTAGCACTAAAATTTATATTTTTTATATAAATAATTTCTTTAATTTTTTGTTATTTACTTAATGTGGTGACAAGTTTCAAGGACAGACATAAGAATCCTTATAATACGAAACTTTCATATTCATTTTATGACTAATAGCAATTGCCAATTGCTGCAGTTAGCTTCTGCGCTTATCTGTAAAAGTTTTAGGATCAATTTATGAAATAGAGTAGGACGGAAAAACCGAATTTTTTACGCCCTAAGTAAAATAAATAAATTATATAAAATTTTTTAAAATCGATTGGTTTGTTTATCACCTTCAAAATATACAAAAACATATCTGTTTTTTTAAGACCTCTTAAAATGTACAACCATTATTCTATTGCTTCTTATTCCTAATTTTTAATTAAAAAAAATTAAAGTAATTATAATGTCATATTTATTTCGTATTATAGACTGATAGAACAATGTAATTAAAAACGCTAATTATCCTATTTTCTTCCGATAGAATAAAATTTAAATGGTAAGGTTCTTGCAAGTTTTAAGCCAAAGTTTGAGTCAGCTGCATCATAATGAATCGAAGAATGTATTTATCAGGCAGGCGTTTAAATGTCAACAATAGTGTCCGAAGAGATTTGTCATCAGATTGAAAAATATAAGCACAGATTTTTCTCATTTGATGTCATTTTGAAGAATGAATTAAAATGTCAGTTGATAAAAATAAAAATGCGGGATATTTAAAAAAATAAAAAATGCTCTGGGACTGGAAAAAGAGTTTCGACACTGTCTTTTATTAGAATAGTTCAACTTTGTTATTATACACATTATAGGGAAAAAAGATTTATCAAAAATACAAAAAAAATCATTCAAGCGAAACGTATTTAAAATACACAGTACAGTCACATTAATGTGACCACCTGTCAAAAGCCGGAACGGCCCTTTATCCCTTCATCGTGAGATGCGGATCCTTGAGGTGTATCCTTGAGGTTCTCGTATCCTAAAATTTCACTTTACTGTACTGTGATTTGTTATATTTTGATAGTATTTCTGTATTTTTGATTTCTACCTTGCTTTATTATTAATTTTTGACCCTATATAAACATATTTTTTGCCTTCAAATTTGACAAATATTAAAAAAATAGTGCTTAAGGATGGTATTTACAAAACACTCTGAATGACCTAAAAATAAGAAATTTTACTTTCCGAGCATCAGTAAATATCAGAGCGTTATCAGTCAGTCTACAATTTTAAAATTAATTTAAAACACAGAGGCATTTTGTCCATTAAAGAAGTTTGTTTAAAAGGCATTAAATATTTACTATTGATAGAACTAAATGATATGCTTGAAAAAAAATCCACTTTTTCTGCAAAGGACAAAAAGAGATTAGTAACATATAGATACCTGCCATTAATCATAAGACCCACAGTGAGGAGGAAAAGATTACACAGAATGAAAAAGAAAGGAAAAAATAAGACAAAGATGACTACTTGCCACAGAGTAAGGTTTTTATTGCAAATACCAATAAATCACCAACAAGACACTTTTTCGATTTTCCGGAAAATTGATGACTTTGAATCTTTAATGATACTATTTCACCCAACAATGTTGCTTAAGGCGACATTATAAATACTTCAGTTTAAGGATATAGTTTGGCCATTCAATTTCGTTATTCCATGTTATTTATATAAGCTTTCTGCCTGTTTGGTCTTAATCGAATTATTTCTGTATCATAAGAAATATATTATATAAAGGTAATAAAACATGCTGAAAATTTTACTAGTGTTTGCAATTTAAATTAAATATTGCTACACAGTAAAAGTATTTGATAAGTAAAATCATGCACTTTGGTAGTTATATTATTAAATATTTCGGCGTGAAAACATTAAATTGCATTTGCTGCATGGAATTATAATTTTTGAGAAATTATAAAATTTCCTTTTAATCCAATAGTTTTGTAAATAGCAGAAAAAGTGCCTTGTCACATATAATTATACATTTTAAAAATTTATAATTGCATTTTAACTTGAATTTGTTAAATAATTATAAGTTCGACTAATTAAATTTGTATTTTAACTCAAGATTTTTATTTAAGTCAATGACTTAAAGTTTAATTTCTATTATTTAATAAAAATTGTATTTTAAGTTAAAAATTTTGTGGATCGTGCTAATACATGTTGTCCAATATACGTTGCGCATATACTGTGCTACAGATTTAAACTTTATACAATTTTGATTTAAAAAGCATTATTTCCGTATTTTAATGAAGAAAAATAAGGATAGCCAAAGGAGGACTTATACATAGGGCATTAAACATCTGATTCATCCATTAATATATATATATAGGGGAGAGTCGGGTAGCCCCGCCCACCTAAGGAGTTTTGCTTATATTTCTGTATAATATTGAGTAATAATCAATATTTTTGTATGTTTCTATTGTTTTACCATCTAGTTAAATAATGCAAAAAGAATAAACCAAAAAAAGAATAGTTTAACTTAAAAAAATAGAAATTTAAAAAAACATGTTTTTTAGCTCCTTTCAAGATGTGTCGGGTAGCCCCGCCCAGTTACAAAAATTGGGTTTTTTGGCTATTTTTTCAGGTGTAAATGAGAATGACCAATGTATCGACAATAGATAAACCTCATTTATCATTTTTATCACAAAATTATTTTATTTATTACATATTTATATACTTTTAGTGAATTCTATCATTTAATAACAA